CTAGTGTCCATATTCGGTCGATTAGTTTATGGATACGCCTCCATAGCGCATGTCCACCATTCTTTATCAGTTCTGCACTTATTCCATCTGTGCCAGGTGCTTTGTTAATTTTTAGATTTTTTATGACGTTTATCGTTTCTTCCAATGTTGGTTACTCAACTAGTTGTTCTGTTGTGTGGTGAATTATTTCTTCATCTTCGTTTTGTTCTTTTTCTGGGTTTAACAGCTCTTAGAAATGCTCCTTCCACCTTTTCATTATTTCCTCTTTCTCGCTGATAATTGCCCCATTTTTGTCCTTGCAAACTGTTGATTTTGTCATGTATCCTTGGGTGTATTGCTTGGTTTCCTTGTAAAATTTTCTAGTCACTTTTCTGTTATTATAATCTGTAATCTGTTGTATTTTCTATTCAACATTGCTTTTTTTTTCTTTCTACATATTTTCTTTGCATCTTTTCTGAGTTCTTCATATGCCCTTATATTCAATCTGGATTTCTTTGTAAACATTTCTGTCTAGCTATATTTTTGCTATTTAGTACTTGTTGGCAATCTTGGTCAAACCACACAAATATATAACCACCATAAATGACTACGCTTTGAATATGCGTGTTACCCAAGTCGTTTATTTAAAATAAATGTGATTGCAGACGATAATTGCAAACATTGCGATAAACTGGGTGACCCTGAAAACATCTTTTTTTTTAATGTCCTTCAAAAAAGTTTTTAAAGCATTTAAACTCTCTTCACCAAAATTTAATCAAATTTAATATGTATGCAACATTCAATATTCAGTCTCTGCTGGCTACAGGCTCACAAAAAATATATAATATTATAGATTTTATAGATTTCTTGTCAGACATATGCACGGTTCTATAAGATTTGTACGCGAGTATGAAACTTTTCAAGATCATGTGGATTTCAAGTTTAAATTTGCATCCTTCGTTTATAATAAATGTTATAACACCTTATCCATTGTCCAGTTTTGTTTGTCTACTAAAAATGTCTTAATGGACCCCTAGACGAGAAGTAAGTGACCCCGTATGTTTCCTTATCGTATTTTCTTCTATTAATCATCCGTTAATTTTGTATTAGGGATAGGATTGTGTATTTGTCTGATTAGATGATCTATTGTAACTGGCTGAATAAATAATGTCTATGCCATTAAAAAAAATCTTTATCGATAAAGAAATAAATCTGAGAATATGTCAAGATGTCATTAAAACTCCGGAATAGGATAAAATACTCCAAATACTAGATTATTACCACCATGGTACAAGCAATCTCAATCGGAGTATAAATGAGACTATATGAAGAATAAAAGGAAAGTATAATTGATCACAAAGGATGCAGAAAATTTCATAAAAATAGCCAAATCTGTCTAAAAAAAGAAGATCTGTAGGAAAAATTTAAGTAACCCGTTAGTTATCACCGAAACACCTAAAACGCCGTTCGAAAGAATTAACATATATCTCTTCATACATATCTCTTCGAACACCCTACCAGAAATTACGACCTGACTATCAGAGTCACTAAATTCACAAAGGCGTATCCCCTTGAAGAAAAAAACAGCTAAATCAATCGTCAATAATCCTATTGTTTTTTTTTACACTATGGCTCTCCATTACGCATACACTGTGACTATGGACGTGAATTCGACAATATTTTGAAGAAAGATCTTTGTGAATTATACGACGTAAAATTAACCTTCTTGAGTGTGGGCCATCCATAATTTAACGGTTCCGTGGAAAAATTTTACGCAACCTTAAGCGAAATGATGAGAGCCATGGACGTATAAATCTTTATTTATACGTCCATGATGGAAGCTAATCACGCTGAAAATTCTGATAAACATCAGGTCAATATTGAGTCTTATGCAGTTATTTGCTATAACACAAAAAAATAAAATCCACAGATTTACACCGTACCAACTCATTTTTGGAGATACTTCTATTAGACCACCCGCAATGCTTTACAATGAGAAAAACCGTATATCAAGTACGTTAGGAACTTAAGTAATCCTATGCAATACTTCTATAGAGTGGCACGAACTAAGACGAAAAGACAAAAAAAAAGACTAAAGAAAGATTTGATCAGCACGTGTCATGAAACCAACCAGAATATAAAATAGACGATAAGATTTACGTCAATATTTCGCAAATTAAAGACAAAGCCCAAACTAATAGGCTATTGATTGTGATAAAAAAATTATCGTTAAAATGAAGTACAATGTTAAAGGAGTTTTTATTAATTCATATGGTCAATATACCTAATTCGCAAATTAAAGACAGAGCCCAAACTAATAGACTATTGATTATGTTCAAAAAAGTAGGGATATAAGGAACTACAACGTTAATTGCATTTTTTGAGAAAGGTGAATTTGGCCCTTTGCACGAGGATGCATTTGTGTGAATTCTATGCAGTTTTCGTACATATATATCTACTAAAAAGTTGTTCAAAATTAAATTTCCTATCGAAATGTCACCTTTTAAAGTAAAAAATAGTTATTTTTTTAACAAAAAAACATATTCAAAAAACGAAGCAAAAAACAGAAACACTTTTTTTCTTGTATATTTAGGTCTAAGTATAGATTACCAAATAAAAATGCTTAAAAGCTTATGTTTTGTACTTTAAAATAGTCTATTAGTCTAGTAAAATATTCTAGGACTAACGGTAACCAAGATATGGTTCGTCAAATTGTGATGCTTGCAACAAATTTTTTGTATATACATACGTAAATGTACAACGAAGAATACTCCTGTCGTAGCAGTCAGAGACGAAAATGCCACTGAACCTCATACAAACAAGCTGAATTTTGCTAAGATTTTCAATTTTGAGACTCCGACAAAGATCCAAACAAATTTGCCATTGCTAACCCCGGGTTTCCACTAAAACCGCTCTTTGTAGGGGGAGGGGAAACAAAAAAAAAAACGATTTACCAGGAATCTGTACGCCGTAGAAAAAATATTTTAAACAAGAAATGTAGCCGAGATAATGTTGAACAAAAATTTTTATTAACACTTTTTCATACATATAAATATAATGTTTCTACCGTCGGTCTTTTAGAGTTTTTCAATATGTACCTTTGCTTAAGTATAAGTATACTTATGGAATCTGAATAGTGATCAACAAAATTAGCATAATACAAAGATCCACTAAAGTACAATGACTATCAACGATGAAAAACTTTATCCAGTGGAATCATAGAACAATTGCGAGAATAGACTGCTAATGTATGTACCCTTTCCCAACTTTGAATTGTTGTGGGTAAGCTTTTATAGAGTTTCGTATATCCCCGGGGAATATTATCCCAAACATAGATTGTATTGGATTTAATCATATTCTCAAATTTGGAATTTCTGTGTAAATGTTCGGTCTACAATATTAAGACATAACCAGAACTACACCATATTTAATAAACTTATGTAACAGCGCAGCGTCTGTGCACAAGAAAATAAAATGTTTTTACGTATAAAACAATATAGTAGGTAATCTGAAAATAATTTGTCTAACAAACTAATCCGGCTTTGTTATAATACGAGGATATATTGATATTAAACTAGCCTTTGATAGATGGCGCTACTTGATACCGAATTGGTTTCGGTGTTGACATTTGCCATTCATGACATGACGCATGTCAAAATTTTAAGTTTTAAAAACAATTAGTTGGTTTTTACAGTCGTCAAAAGCAAGTAAATTTTGTGTTTTCGGAGAAATGGAAAAAGTCGAGTATCGTTTGGTGATTAAGTTCCTAAACCAAAAGGGTAAAACGAATGTGCAAATCAAAGCCTACCTGGATGAATTTTATGGTGAGGTTGCACCTTCGTTAGCAACAGTAAAATTTTGGAAAACTGAATTTGTTCGTTGTCATACGAGTGTTTTTGATAATGAGCGTCCCGTGGGACCGAATGAAGTCACCACGCCGGAAATGATCAACAAAGTCCATGACATGATTATGGCAGATCGTTGAATTAAGCTCCGCGAGTTAATAGAAGTCCGAAACATTTCCTACGAACGCGTACACAACATCATTCACCATCATTTGGACATGAAAAAGCTATCCGCGCGATGGGTGCCGCGTTTGCTACCAATCGATCAAATGCCAAAACGTGTGACCACTTCGGAGACGCTTTTGGCGATGATACGACGCGATCCGAATGATTTTTTTCGCCGATTTATCACAGTTGGTGCAACCTGGGTGCAGTGTTACACACCGAAAACCAAAAAACAGTCGAAACAGTGACGCAAACGAGGCGAAGGGCCACCGAAGAAGGCAAAGAGTACACATTCGGCCGGCAAAGTTTTCTTGGCGACGGCTCAATGGCGACGGTTTTCTTGGATGCAAAGCGCATCATCCACATCGACTAGTTGGAAAAAGGAAAAACAATCAATGGTGAGTACTATGCAGCATTATTGGATCGATTCTATGCCGAATTGCATCGAAATCGCCCCGGTTTGGAACCCAATAAACTGCTCTTTCACCAAGACAATGCACCGGCTCACCGATCGGCCGTCGCCATGGCAAAATTACACGAAATGGGCTATGAATTGGTTGATCACCGACCGTATTCCCCAGATGTTGTCGCCAGCGATTTTTACCTGTTTCCAAATCTAACAAAATGGGTCGGAGGACGCCGTTTCGCAACAAATAATGAAGTCGTCGCTGAAACCCCGGCCTATTATGAAGAGCTTGAGCAAAAGTACTATTCGGATAGGATAAAAAAATTGGAACATCGTCTTACTAAGTGTATCGAGCTAAAAGGGTTGTTGAATGTTGAAAAATAAATCGATTTAATTCCAAAAAACTTGTTTTTTCTATGAAAGGCTAGTTTTATATATATCCACCCTTTTGTAAGATAGTATATCATATTGATTAGAACAAATTTTATAAACACCAAGGACTTTATGTACATACAAGAAAACACAGTTAAAATATGCCAATATTACATTAATGTGTCCACATTAAAATAATATTTTAATTATTGAAAGATATGTATATAAATTACCTTTCCTTATCTTCTCTCTGTTTTCTTAATTCTGGAAATATTTTTTCAAAGAACTCTCGGTTTTTTATCTCTTTTGCCTTCCTTTTTGTGCTCAATTCTATTTTATCTACTTTCCTTAACCATTCTTGCATCATTCTGCTATATGTATCAGTCAAGTATAAATTCCGTGATTCCTTTTCGCTATTTTTTTTTTTAAAGTATTCTAGAAGTCTTCGTTTAAATGAGGCATTTCTTCTTTTGTTTTCATTGTATACGGGAGCGTCACTTGGTTGGTTGTAAAGTGGCCATTCTACATTCGGTCCTAAGGAATCCAGCTGTGCATGTGCATTCTGTGCTCTTTTCCTATTTTCTGCATATATTTTCTGAAACAAATCAAATCTTTAGAAAATAATTTTGGTGTCCAACTTTCAAAATGTTGCACTGGCTCTTTAACATCGACTTAGGACGAATATTAATAAGTTTATCAATAAATAAGACAATAAATAGTGATTTAAATAAAGAATATAGAACAAGAAACAATCAACATAAAAAAGTGAGTAGCTACATATTTATCGTTATATGTATTTACAAAATATATTGATGGCTAAAAAAAGCAAAACACTTTATATACGATAAACTGTCGACTGCTCGACGTTTTGCCAACACTAGGGGTTGGCATCTTCTGGAGATGTTACTGCTTCGCTTGTAAGCTGAAACTAACTTACGTCGAGAACTAATCTCAGAAGACAACGGCCTAACAGCCCGAACAAACAGTTTAACACTTTGTATACGGTTATTTATTTGGATCAAAAGTATTTCTTTGTAAGTTTTATCTAAAAGCACATATATGATTTTTACCTCGCTATCTTTCCTTTACCTTAATTACTATTTAACTGGGAATAAGCCACAATTAAAGATAAAAATACGTTTATTGACGTTTCAATTTCCACTTCGGAAATCGTTCTCAAAATACGTATTTTTATCTTTAATTGTGGCTTATTCCCAGTTAAATAATAATTAATTTAAAATGCCACAAGAAAATAGCTTCAGAACAATATTTCCTTTACCTTTCTCGCAAAAACAAAAAAAAAATACCAAGATTATTTCTAAGTTTAACTTGAGTTTATTTGTAATTTTTAGTAATTGTAGCGAGATTAAATCAAACGAGCGGTTCGAATTTATATAAATATATTTATTTATAACTTTACAGTTCGGTATTCTCTTATCAACTAAACTTATTCCTAAGATCGTTACATATATATACCAAAGTTACTATTTTCTAGAAAGTTCCCGCCTCTAGGTCTGACTGATCTTTCTCGAAATATCGAGTCGCTTTCGAGATGCCGCCACATGGAAGCATGAGGTGCTGTTTCGAGATGCAACCGTTATACGTGCCTCGTTGAATGCACGTTCGTAACACTGCTCCCCTCTTAGATCTGAGCGTCCCGATCAGCAACTCTATATGTAGGCCCAGGATGGCGGAATCTACAGGACTCTCCAGCTCTGCATGAACCCCTCAGAAAGAAATAACAGTCTACTGTCTTTGAAGGACACAATCTCTTTGGATTAGTGCAACACACGGTAATTCTTACACCGGTTTCTCGGAAGATCACTTCTAGCATGCTTCTGACACTCTTCCAATCCAAATTATCTAGTGCATGGCCTATCTTGGGTAAGGCCAAATTCTTAATGTCGTAATTGCAGACGATTTTCTTCAAATTAGTTAGAGCACACCATATATCCTCGTAGGTTGCCCTGTCTGTATACGACTTCCTGGTCACCATATACAGCAAAGATCGAGAACCATCTTCTAATCTCAGTACTCTTCCAACTTTAGGCTGCTGGTTTTTTAACTCGTCCAAACGACCGAACTTCTTATAAAATACGGATGAGATTCCTTTAGTCATCTCAAGATCTTGAAGGATTCGTGCTTCTTCTGTTTCATTTGAGCCAGCATAAGGTGCAAGCCGATTTATGTGAACTACTTTTGGTTTACCTTTCGGTAAATTTTTAATTCGGTATATTACGTCATTTATTCTCTTTTTAATTTCATACGGACCCTCCCATTGTCTTTGCAGTTTGAGAGACAAGCCACGACGACGTTGTGGATTATAAAGCCAAACAAGATCACCTACTTTATAGCTTTCATTTTTGCATCGAGAATCATATTGATCTTTCATTCTGTCACTGGCTAACTGGATGTGTTGTCGGGCAAGTTCATGAATGTTGTTCATTCTTAACTTCAGGCGGTCGACATAATCTTCGCTTGCAACATGTTCTTCGGAAGGTCTGGAGCCAAACTCTAGGTCGCAGGGCAAACGAACTTCACGACCTAACATCAGGCAGGTTGAAGTCTGGCCGGTAGTGTCATTCACGGCCGAGCGGTAGGCCATTAGGAATAAATGAATGTGCTGGTCCCAATCTCTTTGATGTTCTGATACAACTTTGGACAGGTGTTTACCCATCGTTCGGTTCATTCTCTCGACCATTCCATCTGATTGAGGATGCAGGAGTGTCGTTCTGGTCTTATTGACACCAATCAATTTACAAACGTTTTGGAAAAGGGTTGACTCGAAGTTTCGCCCTTGGTCGGAGTGGATCTCCAAGGGAACACCAAATCGGCTAAAGAATTCTTTAACAAGTACCTCTGCAACGGTAGCAGCTTCCTGATTTGGTATCGCATAGGCCTCAGTCCATTTTGTAAAATAATCCATGGCAACCAGGATATATTTATTTCCATCGTTTGTCTCTGGAAGTGGACCTGCAATGTCGATTGCTAATCCTTCCATAGGACTACCAACATTGTACTGTTTCATGGGTGCCTTTCCGGCACCATCTTCTTACATCATCTTTATAGTTCACCCAATAGAACCGTTCTCGAACCTTTTGCAGAGTCTTCGTAATACCAAAGTGTCCACCTGATGCACCGTCATGTAACTGACGCAATACTTCTGACACTTTACTTTTAGGTACAATCAACTGAAGCTTAGATTCTGTACCATCATCGTTCTCAAAGGTTCTATAAAGAAGATCATCTTTTAACACTAGGCAATTCCATTGGCTCCAGTAACACTTGACTTCAGGACTACATGCACTAATATCTTGTCAAGAGGGCCTTTCACTTCGACGCATCCAATCCAATACTCTTTTTATACATGGATCATCTGCTTGAGCGTCTTGTAGCTGTTGAGGCTGCCATTGATCATTAATGACGGTGGTTCGTCTCACGGGGCAAAGTCTTTCTTCTAATTTAAGACAGTGATTACAATGTTCACTGCACGGCCTTCTCGAAAGCGCATCAGCATTTAAATGAACTCTTCCAGCCCTGTGTTCGATCTCGTAATCATATTCTTGTAATCGTTCTAACCATCTTGCCATCTGGCCCTCTGGATTACGGAATTGTAGGAGCCATTTTAGAGCAGCGTGGTCCGTGCGAAGAAGAAACTTTCTGCCGTATAAATATTTATGGAAATGCTCGCAAGCCTTTACTACGCCTAGCAATTCTCTCCTGGTAACGCAATAGTTTCTCTCTGATTTCGACAAGACTTTGCTAAAGTAAGCGATGACTTTCTCCTGCCCATCTTGGATTTGGGAGAGAACAGCTCCTATTGCACTATTGCTTGCATCGGTGTCCAACACAAATTTTCCTGCCTGTCTAGGGTAGCTTAAAATCGGTGCGCTGATCAGAGCCATTTGTAAGTGTTTGAAAGCTCTTTGACACTCTTCGCTCCATGTATATTCTTTGCCTTCTTCTGTCAACTTAGTTAATGGCTTGGAGATGTTGGCAAATCCTTTGACAAAACGTCGGTAATATGTACAAAGGCCAAGAAAACTTCTAATTTCGTGTTTATCTCTTGGTACTGGCCAATCCTTAATTGCTGCAAGTTTTTCAGGATCAGCTGTTACTCCATTACTTGCTACAATATGTCCCAAGTACTTCACTTCTCTTCGAAACAAGTGACATTTCTTCGGACTCAACTTTAAATTCGCTGACCGCAATCGTTGAAAGACTTCGGTCAGATTATTGGCATGTTCATCGAAGGATCTTCCAACTACAAATACATCATCCAAATAAACCAGGCATGTTTTCCATATTAGACCTCTTAAAACTGCCTCCATTAATCTTTCAAATGTGGCCGGAGCATTACATAAACCAAAGGGCATAACTGTGAACTGCCAAAGCCCTGATCCTATCGAGAATGCGGTTTTCTCACGATCAGCTGGCTCCATGTCTACTTGCCAATATCCACTTTTCAGATCGAGTGTGGAGAACCAACGAGAACCAGAAAGTGTATCCAAAGTATCGTCTATTCTGGGCAAAGGATAACTATCGTTTTTAGTTACCGCATTGAGCTGTCGGTAGTCAATACAAAAACGTGTTGAACCATCTTTCTTCTTTACTAGCACTACTGGTGATGTCCATGGACTGTTTGATGGTTCAATTACCCCTTGTTTGTTCATATCTTTGATGATGTCTTCGGCTTCATGAAAGTCGTCTAGGTTGTTGTCTGATTGGCTGAATAACTAAATAACTTAAAAGCACATAAACTGCCGATCCTCACCTTTGAGGATAACCGGCATCTCGCCAAGGCTGAGCATACGGATCAAAAACAAGATCCAAGATTTTCGAAAAACTATTTACCGACTTTACACTTTGATCTAGGTTACGTTGGGAAAGCTAAATCAGCTTACGGAGTCTAGAGACATTAAAAGATTAAAGATATGCAAGAACGATATTATTTTCAAAAAATGCACAATTAAAGAATTCATGGAGGAAGGAAATACCCCATGTTTGGGGGGTAACGTTAGAAATAATAGATTAATAAAGAAGCTAAAAGCAAATTTTAGATGGACAAATATCGAAAAAGATGTAAGGCTATACAGTAACAACTGTCATAAATGTCTGGTAAATAAACCAAAGAAGGGCCATAAAGAGGAATTCGCATTAAGGTTGATCTGCACCCCCCGAAAGCTAAACTCCAAATATTTCCGCCTCCGCCAGGCTGGGAGCCATTCTGTCTCCGGCTTCTATAATGTAAAAATGTAGCTTCTCCAATTTAAATTTTAAAGTGTTTGTTTGTCTTTAGTGTATTTGTTATGTCCCAGTTTACATGTATGACATTCCATTATTGCTGGATAGGCCACAATTGACGAAATGCCCCTGAGGATGATCTTGTGATCGAAAGTACTTGGGCAAGATTTAATTAAATACTGTGTTCGATATTTGCCTTGTGTACCATCAAAGTTCATTTATTCGAACATTCAACCTTATATTGGGTTATTGTTTATATTTGTCCGGTGAATAGTCGAAAGTATAAACATTATAATTAAACCAATATAGTAAATTAAAATACGTCTAATATGAGTTTAATTGACTAAGTAC